ATAAACTGAGCTATGGAAAATGAAAGGGAGTCATCTCCGAATACAGGCAGTGTCCTGTGCCTCAGCCCCTACTTGCAGTGTTCAGCCCCAGCACAGCCATTGTTACAGTGACTGAGCAAAGACAGCCCAAAAGCTGAGCTAGGTCACCAGATGTGAAGTTACAGTTTTAGCCAGTGTTCAAGCAATGCCCTTCCCCTAACTTTAGCTGGACCAGGGTGGCCATCCTTGCATGACACATTGAAGCTAAAAGAAGCACGTTCCAGAATAATTATGCTATCTGCTATGCAAATGCTTTTTTTCCCCCTCTCCCCTGAGCTGTGTTCTTTTCCTAGGTCTTTCAGACATTGTTTAAAGATGGTCTTGTTTTGGGTTTCAGTCATCAGATAAATTCCCTGGAGATTAAATGAAATTAAACTGTGTTTGTGATATCTCACAAATTTTATAGAGTCTCCTTTGTCCAGTGTAATATTAGTTATGAAAACCAACAATGAGGGCATGTGACAGTTTTCAACACACATCATGGAGTGTTTAATTTAGTACAAAGCCTATTAATTTCCCATTAATTAGACCATTATCAAGTTAGACACAGTAGAACATGTATAGACATTCTTGCTTTCAGGAAGCTTACTTGTTTATTATCATTTATTTTAATCATCTAAGTTTTTAAGCACTTATTATGTGCCAAGCCCCACAACACACACTAGGGATGTTACAATAAATAAAGCAGACATGACGGCTGCCTCCCAGGAACTTCTCCTCTAGTGAGGATGACAGAATAACCAATTAAAATACAGCCTACAGTCTATAGCAGGGATAGTATGGACTTTATTATGCAGCTAGCCTTGCCCTATGTCATAGGAGCACACAGGAAAGGCATCCTGGTGGACCAGAGAAACATTCAGATAGTTGATCAGCAGATATTTTTTGAATACCTAAAAGGAGCCAGGCACTGACATATATAAGTTAATATCTGAAGGGAAGAATTATCCATATCAAAGAGGTAGGAATAGGAGAGTAGAACGCTGTAGGCAGAAGAAACAGCTTCTAAGAGGATCTGAAGGCAAAGTTTGAAGAACTAAATGTAGAGTTAGGAGTGATACAGATAAAACTGGAAAAGGGGCAAGAGATAAATTGCAAAAAAGAACTTGCAGTACATGTTACAGAGCTTAGACTCTATCCTGAAAATAATGGGAAATCTTACAGTTCTGTTCCAGAAGTGACCCAAAATATATTTGTGTAAAAAAAATATTTTGACTATTGTGTTGAGATTGGGTTAGAGAGGGGTGTACCTGGAGCACAAAATTCTGTTTAGAAGGTGTTGCAATAAACAAGATCAAAGATGATAATCACAGCTAAGGAAGTGATTGTTGCCCGAACTGTATGGATTTTAAAGCGACTCAAGAAAGAGTGCATTAGTCCATTTGCATTGCTATAAAGGAATAACTGAGACTTGGTAATTTATAAAGAAAAGAGGTTTATTTTGGCTCACAGTTCTGTAGGCTGTGTACAAGAAGCATGATGCCTGCATCTGCTTAGTTTCTGGTGAGGACCTCAAGAGGCTTCCACTCATGGTGGAAGGCGAAGGGGAAGCAAGCGTGTCACATGGCGAGAGCAGGAATAAGAATGGGGGTAGGTGCCACATTCTAGATCTTGTAAGAGTTCATGGAGCAAGAACTCATTCATTACCACAATGAGGGCACCAAGCCATTCATGAGAGAATGATCCCAACACCTCCCACCAGGTACCTCTCTAACACTGGAGATCACATTTCAACATGAGATTTGGAGGGGACAAATGATTTAAACCATATCAAAGAGGAATCTCAGGACTTGGTGAGAGACTGAGTAATGCCAGATTAGATGGGGTGGGAAAGGGAGAGGGATACATCATTCTTGGCGAACTGGGTGGAAGATGGTACAATTTACTGAGAAAGCACAGAAGGAAGAATAGGTGTGGTGGAAAGCCAAAACCCAAAGACATATTGAGTTAGGTTTGTCCAGGAGGCATTTTGATCAATAAGTGTGAAGGCTGGGAGAGAGATCTGAGATGGAGACACAGATTCCAGACTTACTAGCATTTCGATTAGATATTCTTCATGTGGTGTAACAGAAAGAGAGGCTCTATGCATCCTCGGGGGTAACAGAGAATCTCTGAATCTCCTAAAATGTTTTCACACTTTGGGCTTCCTTTAAGTATGTTTATTTGGGGTCGGGAAGATGATGGGAATTTACTTTAAAACATCTGTGACACAAAGGAAGTTAAGGACTGCAAACGAAAATCGAAGGGGCAACTTGATAAGAGTGCCCAGGGAGAGTGTACTGGCTGTGCCGGGCCAGAACCCGGGAACAGCATGTATAGTGAACAAGCTGAAGAGTCAATGCCCATGAGGAAACGAAAAAGGCAAGGAAACGTATCCATTGGATTTTCAACAGGGCGGTCGTGGGTGATTTGGCAAGGGAGGCTGTGGCCATGTGCCAAGACGGAGTGAGTGGGAGATGGGAGAAAGGAGACGGCAAGTATAGGACACTCAAGAAGGGAGGGGAGAGGACTAAGGAGGTGGCTGGGGAGATGACCAGATGCAGAATAGGCATTTCCTCACCTGAAGATCGGAGAGACTCGTGCAATGAGTGAGAAAATTTAAAAGTACAAAGAACCTTTAGTAACAACCAATCCAAGCACACAGATACATTTAAAGAAATCAGAAGAATAGCGCTCAGGGTAAGTACGGTGGTCAGGATGGATTTCAGAGAAAGGTTTTGAATTAAGTTGAGCCTTGAATGATTAATAAGCTTTTGGACAGCTGAGAATGAGCCATTAATTGGAAGAAATCTGAGAAAAAAATAAGACTAAACATTCATCTATTCTCCTTTTAACTCCTTTAGTATTCAAAGAATATCTTCTCAGCTAATATAATGTCTTTAGAATGGAAATTGCCTGTAACTCAGAGTGACTACAAGTATGAAAGTATTAACAGTTACAAGATATATAATCCAATTTACAATTACTCCTTGCATTCTTGGTCTTCACGCATGAAACCAGCATATTCTTTGGGATCACATTGTTCAATTTCCTCATTTGGAATTTTTAACACTAGATATGGTGCTAAATCTGTATAAGCTGGTGCTTCTATCACTTAGGTTTTAAATATCCTCCGTATATATAAACACACCCATAAATAAAGGTATTAATGTTGGAAGGAGAAAGATCCTTTAATAAGCAACCTAGCACAAGTAATTCCCTGCATATAATATAGGAGATTGTTATGGGACCTAGTTCATAATTAAACATCACCTGTTTAACTGAATTCTTTTTTATCTTACCTTTCTAAAGAATATACAAATGATCATTTTCAAAGGTGACATTTATGTGTTTAAGTTGAACAAGCTGATTATAAATTGTAAGTACACAGAGAACAGATATACATTGTAATAGACCCCTGAGGAAGCTGCAGCTTGGTCTTCCTAGACAGGTGTGAGTAGATGGTGGTTGCTTTAGGACTCCATCTTGCTTTCAGTAATAGTCTTAACCATTTCTTTTTTTTCCTTGTCATAAGTATGGGTCAGTGTTCCAGATTCTGGATGCACTAAAGAAAAACTTGGCCATTGCTGTGCAGACATTAGAGAAACCAACATTGTTGCTAAAGAGTTTTGTTTTCCTACTTAAGAAAGAACATTCTGTTCTCTTTCCCAGTTCATGTAATTTGGCCCAAGAGAAAAAAAGTAAAATACCATAATATGTCTTTGTCTTAATGAAACTTGAGTTTCTACATTTTTGTCCTAGTTTCTGAAAGAGGCCAGGTTTGTTCACACACACACACACACACACACACACACACACACACACACACTCTCTCTCTCTCTCTCTCTCTCTCTCTCTCTCTCTCTCTCTCTGGTTCTGACTCTGACCTATCTCGGTTCACTACCCCCTAGCCTGGGTGCCCAGGTTCTCTCCTATGTGTGGACTGTCTCTTCCCACATACATTATTCTGACCTCTGGTTGTGGCCATTCTGTCAATGTAGGTTTTACCTTTCCAGAGGAGATGGTTCGTGCTCGGTGTGATAGTTTATATCCTGCTGCCTCAACAAATATCAAGTTAGGTGTTGCAATTTTATAGTCAAAGACTTCGGGCATTAAGATGTATTTTTGTGGAAATTGCATATTCCATTGTTGCCTCTCATATATCATGGCTTTATTCATAGGCAGCAAAGGCCAGGCCTCAGCTAATGATTTCAAAACCCTGCCACATGAAGGGTTTTTTTTTTTTTTTTTCCTTTCTCCTTTAGGATTCTAAGCATCTTTTATCAGAGTCATTTGGCCTGTTTCTGAGAGCCTTTTGTGATTCCCCAATTTGCTCTGAGTGGGATGTCTGAGGAATCCTGTCACACCTCCCCTCTGGTCTGTTAGCAGCCATGGTAGAAAACTTCTTCTGATCTGAGGAAATGTCATTTTAGAGTGCAGAACGAGAACACTTGATTATAATTTCTTGGGTTTCTAAGAATAAGTCTAAATAGCAAATTATTTTAATGGTTATCTTCCTTTTTAAGCAAATAAGAATTGTCTTAACAATTTTTAAAAAAGATAACATTGTTCTTTAAACCCAAATGAAACCCAGATGAAATTGTCATAGATTTGTTAATATCACAAAAAGACCTTTTCCTGAATGGTAGTATTTTGGAATCTGTTGAGAGCCCCCTTGATTCTGGAGCACAGTTATCTTGGGGGAGCTTCAGGCCTCTGCTGACCTGACTGCTATTCGGCTTTCTCAAAGTGCTGTGTGAGGACGGAGGGCATCGTAACAAATCTGCCCTCAGCAAACGGCTCTCTTTGAGAAGATTCTGAGGGCTGGGCCTGCAAATCTATCTCTTACTAAATGCCTCTGTGTAGCACTAAAGCACTGTACAGTTTGAAAGGCACAACCCTTGGAGACAGATCAGGGAAGCCTCTCTGGTCACCAAGACCAACTCATCTGACAGTGAACTCTTTGTCTCTCCTCTGCCCAGGTGCAAGTGTAATCTTCATGCCACTGTGTGTGTGTATGACAACAGCAAACTGACATGTGAATGTGAGCACAACACTACGGGCCCAGACTGTGGGAAATGCAAGAAGAATTATCAGGGCCGACCTTGGAGTCCAGGCTCCTATCTCCCCATCCCCAAAGGCACTGCAAATACCTGTAAGTAACTTTTCTTGGTAACAGCATATTCTATGCACAATGAGGTGTTAGTTCCTCTCAATTTTGCTTACAGTTGTGATGTTACTCCTCAACTGTTAAGTTGTCTCATTCTTCTTTGAAGTGCTGCTAAAGTTTTAGTCCCCATCTTACCTCTTGTAGACATCTTTCAGCACTCTGATCATCTGTAAAATTCAGTCATCTGACATTCACATCAAGTGTGTTGGGAAATTATACTTGACATCACAGAAGGAATTTTTTCTAAGTGGATGAGACAGGAGGTGATTTTTTTCCTCCCCCAAATTAATTTTCAATTGAAACATCAAAGGCCTTGAAAACCCTCAACCCTAATTTAATTTTAGCCATAAACAATTTACGGAAATTATTTGAATGTTTACAGCCCTACTGCCCATACTGGATATCCTGAGAGATGCTTTGTCCGGAAGATGTTTCCGTCTACAATTTCAGCTAGGCCCTAATTTTGCCTGGTGATAAGCTTGGCTGTTTCCAAACTCCAGCAATTGAAACATACCTGCTTTGGATCCTGTGTGTAGAGGCTCCCTTTGGATAAAGAGCATGACTGTAGGCCTGTGGGGACCACATTAAGAAAAAAGGTTTTTGTATGCTTGTGAAAGCGTGCAAGCATTATCTGTGTTTATAGAAACCATGTGTGTGCCCCCATTGAAATCCTGATTCCCCGCAGGAAAACAAGCTCTGACATGCTCACAGAGAAATGTGATTATTTCCTGAATAATTTGCCCAGTTCTGTGGATGGACCAATTGACTACCTGCAACAGCCCAAGGTTTGCCCTCTTTAAACAGTAGCGAAAAGGGGGAGATTAGAATGTCCCCATTCAGTGAAAACTAATAGAAGCAGTAGGACAGAGAGCACAAGAGAATGCGAACTTGAAAACCCACCGGTTTCTTAGAAGGGTAAGAATGTTATCAGGCACTTCAAAGCAGCAGCTGTGAGAAACCAAACCTAAGAACTAATATCACAGGAACCGGGGCCTTATCAGGTTAAACCTAAGAGTAATGGACCAAGTAACAAGCCATGAAGTATGGGGGCATGAAATTATGATAAAATTTCTATGAAGCAGAAAGAAATCCTTCAAAAGTTTAAAAAATCCTTCTTTGTAAGGGTATTCAGTTGCTTTCAGTGTTAAAGAAAAAAACTGACTTCTTGCTCCTAAAATTAATACATTAAAGCTCTGTTGAGCAGAAATGTTGATGTGTCAAGGCGATTTTATTAATGGAGACTCTGTGGCCTTTCCTCAGTTGTTGAGGGCCGTAGACTCAAGAATTTGGAAGGGATCTTGCAAGGTTATTTGTTGCAAAACTCCGTGGCTGGCTACCTAATCACTCCTATGACCACAGTCGTCAAATGTAGTTTAATGCTTTCCTAAAATGGCTCAGATTTCCTTTTTAGTGTCTGCTCTTCCTTTAGTGGAAAAGGCTGGAAGAGAATGAAGTTCACAAACACTTCCTGGCATTCTGGGCGGTCTTCAGGGCAGGTCAACTTGCCAAGGCCACTGGTGAGGCAGCAGGGGAGACCTGCTCTTGAAGGCATCAGCTTCTATTCTAACATGACCCTGTTCTTCTACCCATATCTGCACTTCAAAGTTGTTATTTCAAGACATTTTCACTGGAAAGCCTTCTTGTTTCATCCAGACTTTCTCAATGAAATTGATTTTTTGTTATATTCATCGTGAAAATGACTTATAGATCCCTAATCCTTTGCATATTGAAAATCACCAAGTCGCTTTCCGGGCAAAGGAATGAAACGTCTTTCAGTTTTCCTTGTAGGTCCAATTGTCCATCTGTCCCTTAGTTTTTACTGGCTTTCTCTAGACTTTTTGGACATCTTTCTCATTGCTGTTAAAATAGGCAGGTGATGGATGGACCCAGTGTCCGAAGGGGTTCAATTCAATATTCCAAAAATCAGTATGTCAGGAATTAGCTGAAGAGTTTTAGAAACTATCTGCAATGGAGAAGTCTTGCAATGGGAATAACCCCTCTGACTACATCTCTGACACCTCAGACTGTGCGTTAAGACATCTGAGGGTAGAATTCCATAAGCAATTTAGTAGTTTAGTGCACAGATTCCAGGGTGGAATCCCAGTTTCTTCATTTACTAGCTATGTGACCTTGAAAAAGTAAGCTAACCTCTCCAACACTGGTTCCCATCTCTATTATGAGAATATAACAGTTATTACCTCATGTGGATTTTTAGACAGTTGACTAAGCTTACACATGTAATGTGTTTAGCCTAACACCTGTCACAAAATATGCATCCAAAAATAATTTATTTTTAGATTTTTTACAGAAGACAGTCTGGTCCATTGTTGGACAGTTTTAACTGGTATAAAAGTTATTTCTTATCAACCCCCTTTTTTTTTCTTTATAAGTAGTAAAAGTATATCAACGCTGGCTTTATTTCTTCCCCAGATTAACCATTATTAACTCCACCTCTTATGTGATAACATTTTTATGTCCTTTACCTGGTTGCCTGCCTGGAAGTCCTTTACTTCATTAGTGTGGTACTTCCAGCCAAGCACAGGACCTTCAGTAATTTTGTGATTCTCACTTCATATCGGCTTTTGCTTACACATATGCATACAGGTACACACAAAGTCACATGACTCTAACTGGTACATTACAAGTCAGTTATCTATGAAGGATACGTAGGATATATCATCGCCTAACATAAGAACACAAAAGCGACAACTTGTGGTCCCTCAAAATCAACTCTTCAGGGACCTATAAATGCTACTCAACCTGGATAATCTCTAGATTTAGCAGAATCTCAAGCAACCAGGATACTTTCCAAATAGGATGATCAGTTTCTGCTCACATTCACAAGTTTTAACAAAAGAACTAGGAGGCCTTTATTAAATCAGGGAATGACAAGATTCTCACCCAAGACACGCAGCCCACCACTCAGGGGTACCCTAGATGGGACCTTGCTGGGAGTCATTTGGCTTTGGAGGTCTTACATTCTAGAGCAGTTCAAGACCACTATTGTATGAAACATGTAAAGCCAAGCAGAAGTGTGCAGAAGGCCAACACTCTAAAATATAGCCACCCCAGTCTGAGACACACCACATTTCCCTATGCTGTTTGTGACAATAAACGTGACAGAGGTAAAATAACTTTTGTGATATTTTTATGCATTGTGCTTTTGTTCAAGACCCAGTGTGTTTTCTTGGACTTTTAAAGCCATGAGCATGTATATCAAAAATTTTTTATTTCTTTTTTCTACAAAGCTTATTTTTATAGAAAAGATACTTTTCTTCTTCACCTTTTTGATCTTCATTCTTTTTTGATATAATTCTATTTTGGATGTCCTTTGAATTTTATTTCTGTCTTCCAAGCAATAGCAATTTCATCTAACTTTGTGCTTAATTGTGATTCTCCTGATTCCCAATTGTCCAGCTCATGAATAAAAGTATTAAATAACTCTTTAAATTCTGACATGTACAGAATAACACATGACATTTTTCTACATATAGATGCTGAAAACCTAATATTCACTATGTAGTAACCATAACTTCAGCAAAGATAATACCATACCTACCCCTCTCCTTCTCTGACTGTGTTCTATGATCCATAAAAGCACTCTATGGCCAGATAAGCCTGGAAAATGCTGTGCACTATACTGACACTTAGCTATTTATATTACATCACTATAATAGAGACATTTAAGAAGTCCTACACTAAAGGAACTTATTTACCCAATGTTACTCAAACTTACTTGCTTCATGGAACACTCAATAACTTCCTAACACTCCAATGGGGACATGCTGGGCTGAACAGCTTCTTGCAGCCTAGCCATAGAAATGTCATGGAGATAGACAGAAAACTGAGCTAGTTCAGCTCTGTTCAATCTTTTACTTTTCTCTTACCCCTGTAGTCTAATATTCTTCAAAGAAAGAAAGTGAAATTGGTCTAACTTTGACATTATTTGTTCATAAATCTAACCTGAATTGTTATACAATATCTAGGGCTCCTCTGAGTGATGGAAAGTAATTTGATGATTGTTCTCTTATTTTCCCTGGTATCAAGTTTGCATTGACCAATTTATATTTTCCCAGATGTACACATGTATGTGTCTTTAATTTCCTAAGTGCTTTATATACATTAGTCCATTCTAAGCTCAATAGTCTTACTGGAAAAAGACCACTATTTTAATTGTAAATGCATGGAATATGGTGATTTCAGAGGAAAAATATCTTTTTAAGGTTTACACAGCTAGAAAGAGTGAAAGGGAGGATTTGAATCCAGGTAGCTCATGACTCTGAGGACTGCACATTGCACTGTATTGCTGATCAAGTTAAATTTGAGTGACTTTCACTGTTCTCCACTGGGATTTAGGCTCTATTTAAATACCTGTTTGAACAAGTCAGTTTTCTCTACACCTGCCCTTTTCCTACGTCTCTGTTATTTTTCTGCCTTCAAAGACACCCCTTCTATTAGTCTTTTAAATCTCCACGTTCCCCAACCCTGTCTGTTCTCAGTCTACAATTTTTTTCCCTGACATTCTAGCCTATTCTTGTGATTTTAGATCTTGGTATTATTGATTTAATAGTAATCAACCAATTCTAGCTTCAATCTTTCTAATAAATTCAGAAAAATTTTTCAGCTGTCAGTAAAGATCTCAAAGTCAATATGCTAGATACTAAATTCATTTCTTTCCCCTAAAGCATTTTTCTCTTCGCTCTATATTGAAATTCTGCTCATTTTTCAAGACTGCTCTTTGATGCCTCATTGAAGCCTGCCTAGACTCTCCTGTGCAAAATCAATTACTTCTGTCTCTCTCTCAATTCTGATAATGTGTGTAGACTTTCAACTGGTTGACTATCTCTAACCAAAAATTATTATAATAATGATAGCTACTATTTATTGTTTACTACGGGCTTTTACACTTCATGAAGTACTTTATGTGCTTTACTGGTTTAAGTCCCCACAACATCCCCATGGGATATGTACTATTATTATCCTCA